TCTCATAAAAATTTATACTCGCCAAACTTTATACAGTATTAACTTCATAGTAAATATAATATTATTATTTTTAACTTATATAATTTTTAATATATACACTTGGAGAGTACCAATTGCGTCATAGGTCAAAAAATTTCATTTTCTTGATATTCTATAACTCTATATTGATAAAATAAATATTTTTATAGATTTTTTTTATTATTTTATTTTTGTATGGTTGTGTATATCTTTAAACTTTTAAATTGAGGTTTCTATAACCTTTCTAACTTTTGTTTTTCCAATTTATATACCTTTTTTATCATCCATTTTTTTAATTATTTTAATTGACATTTTTATTCTGTATGTATTATTTATTTCTTTTATGGCTTATGTAATGTCTATATTTTATCTTAAATTTGGTTTCTTAATTAGTATGGATAGTATTAGAAATTTTTACTTTTTATGATTTGATTAGTAATTTGACAACTACTTTCCATTTTAAATCTTATTTTTCTTAATTAATTTTAACTTTTAACACATTCATCATCTGATCAAATATTAGATACATGTCGCGATCTCGTGAGTTATAATTTTACTTACGTAAATACTTTTGATCTTAAAATTTATAACGCCTATAATTTGACAAATGTAATTAGATTCTAATTTACGACTCGCACAAATATTTAATATTTATTTTATTATTATATTATTTTATATTTTATTGAACCATCAATTTATTATATTTATTTCATAATAAAATTGTCTCATACACGCTATTATATTAGCAAAATGACATTTATAATATGACATCTCATTTTATCTTTAACTATTTAAATAATTTGAAATGGAAAGAATGAATTATATAATATAAGAATTTAAAAATATTACCTATTTTAGTATGACGGTTTTTTTTTTGTTAATTAGTCTATAATCTTTGTTTATATATATTTCTTATTTAATTTTTAAATTTTATTAATGTTGATATATGTCCCAATCTAAATTAAAAATTACATATGTCGTAATCTGGTAAATTATAATTTTGCTTACGTATCGCGTTTTGATCGTACGCATTCTCTTTTATATAATATTAAACAAACCATTGAAAAATCATCATCGAAGCTCAAATTGGTTCACAATATTCTATTGGTCCATGATATTATTTTCCAATCTTGTGATACAAGCCCAATATGGAAAAGAGAGGAACATCATATTTTTCCTCGATATTTCAAGTTTTTCACTTCAGGATTATTTAAGGGAAATAGAATATGATCTTTTATCCACGACAATTCTAATAAATCTTTGGATAAATGATCTTTTTCTTCAGCTAAAAATTACTATAAGTTACAAAACAACGGATGATGATCACATTTTTGGTCGTTAAAGTCTTGATATAACTAAATTGTATTGTACTATGAAAAACATATTCAATTTTTCAATATACTAAACAAAAAAGCGTGTGATAAAAAAAAAAAGGTAACACAAAATTTAAATGTAGTCAAAGGAACCAAAAGGAAATAGAAGAAAAGGAAGTAATCTTAAAAATGATGATAGTTCCCATTTGCCTTTGGATAATGTAGCAAAGACATTCTCTAAC